GAACAGCCACACGTTTATTGAAAGATATGGCCATCAAAGTCTAGGCCTCGGCTATGCTTGTTTATTTTACCCCTCTTTGTATTAAGACAAAGAGCCATGTTGTCCTACCAGCTATGCATATCACCCGGATTATGGTGGAAAGAGACAACTTTTGGGTCATCGGGATACCCCAGAATTGTGCCCCGCGATCCACGAAAGTCGACCAAGTGGTGGAGGAGGCTAGAAGGACCGGCCAATCCAAGTAGCAAATAAGATCTCCAGAAATCGTTGATCTCGGCGGCTGGGAAGCAGATATCCATTGTTGTAGATAGGATACATACAGTGAAGCAGACTATTCGATTGCAAACGAGTCTGTTTTCTGATTTAATTACGGAACGCCGCGGGCTTATCTAGCTGAAAATGGAGCAGCTCTGGAGACATCTTAGGACTATTCAAGTGGCGACTGCAGCGCTAGTTTCTTGGCCAACGAAAGGAGCCATCCTTTGATTGGCTAGAGCGGCTTCTTTGGGAAGAACAAACGGCGCGTAAACGACCGACCGACATCTTTTTGTTTTTTCACGACATTTGGCCCGTGACTAATTGCGGAGATATGCACATATGCGATCATGACCGTCACACATCCAGTCGCCTATCATACTCTGTCTAGCGCAATATGGAGCTGGATCTGTGTATACGATAACTGGTTGCTTCTCAGCGAATGTACAAGAGCCGCACGAGTATCAGAGCCGGATTCATGACACTTAAATGGCTGTCCTTCCTGACCTAGGCTGTCTGTGTGCAATTCCGATTCCAAGTTTCCTCTAGAGTCTGTTTCTTGATGCTATCAATCGTTGCCCTAATATTCAATCATCCTCAAAGACAACAATAGTGACCTGAAGATGATAGGCCGGGATGTGAGGCAGAAGTCCACTTTAGAGACCGACGGGGCTACTTCTAAAGAAGCTCAGGGTAGCCTCGGTGATCGAGAATCGTAAGATACATGAGCAAGGTACATATTTGTCAGAGGCTTCAAAGTTGACTGACATTCACCAGATATGTTCTCAAAGACACCAAGTGCATATGTCTCTCACCACAGACGAACCCACGAGTCCCGGATGGACAAAAAGCACCCACTTTAGACGCGATAGATGACATGGAATTTGATACCCGCCTCGATGTTTTGGCGCTTCACATTGGTGGGTTGGAGTCCCGGCTGAGAACCATGGAATGTTGCCTCGATCATAAGGCGCGTCAAATTGGCAAAATGGAGCAGAACCTTGCCAAAATCGAGTGCCACCTTGAGCAATTCAGGCGGCAATCTCCAGAATCACAGATGCAGATGGATCGATTCAGAGCCAGAATCTAGACCTTAGTGACTGCCAAGCCAAAATCAAATATTACGTTGCTCTAGGTCTCTATATAAATTTAGGTCCCTTTGTTCCTGGGCTCTGTACCTTTCAGCATACTCAAGGTCTCAACCAAGGCAGAGTTAATCAATACTAAGTACATACCCTTACTAAGAACCATTAGACGTCTATGGCTCACCATATACCCTTTTCCTAGATGTTTCCATACCTGCCTAGGTAGATCGTATAATAAACATATTTGGAGAGAGTGTGATTAACTACACCAATGACGATTTGGAGGATACTTGGCTCTAATATTGAGCAGAAGTGGCGCATACTGTAACAAAACGTCCAATTGTACTGGTGCTCTAGTTCAAGTCGATTTCTTTCGGAGCTCAAAATCTCTCAACGAAATATTAGAGATACAGCTTCCTATTCTAAACCAGAAATTTATGTGTGAAGTACTTTCAGAAGTAAGACGGAGCCTCGTTTCTTTTTAAGAAAAAGCAATACTTCACAGTGTGAAGCCATGATTGCTGCTTATCTGATGGCATTTCTCATTCAAATTATCTCTCGCGATTTCCCTCGTTATAGATGATGCTGAGGATATCCACCCAGTACAAAGAATCATGTATTGCAGAGCAGCCTATGCAATCTATAGCCTTTCTAGTCGCTCATACATCTGCTGTGTTGGCGGAAACCTCACCGAGCCGGAAAAATCGGTCATTTTAAGTGAGGACTGGAAGAGGTTAACTGTAATTCTCCATTGAGGCTTATATTGTCGTACCTAGCCACACTAGGTCGATAGATTCAAAATTGAAGCCATGGATACAATAGAATTCAAAAACAGTTTACCCTATAAGACACACAGGCTTTCCTTTCCAGCGTCCTCTTCCAATCGCGCTAGGCTGAATTTCAGGGGATATATGCACCTTTTTTCTGGATACTTTTGTGGTAAATCATATGCTTTACGTTAATTAGATTTACCGGTATTCGGCAGGTCATGCTTGCCCAAACGACCCACCGGCATCTCTTTAATTTATTTTGGGTTGACTGAAACGAAGGTTGAGCAGTCTCAATGCCCTGAGAAGAACGACCAACGATTGGTTCTATCTCAAATGAGCTAAAGGTGCGCCAAAGTAGAACGATTCTTGGAATATATGACTCACATTTGCGATGATTTCAGCATCTTGTGCGGTTAATAGAATCAAATTATTAACAGCTTTAGTGTCTCCAAGCAAGTCATCAATCCAGCAATCAACTGCGCTCGCATCCCAACAATCAATGGACGTTCCCAGGTATGGATGCTCGTCGATGATGGTTCGCAATTCCCCTTCTATTGCATCTGCGGATCGATCAAATCCTCGTCGCAAAAGCAAGCAATGGAGCGACTGCACACTGACTTTTCGGGAGCGAAAATACACAGCAATCGTCTTTTCTGCGTCTGACCATGCTCTTCTGTCACTCATTGCATGACGGCCAGTCACAGGTGATTTCTTCACAAGGGGCATGGTGTTTATGTCAACCAAGTACATTATGAGCATCCGTGTATATTTACTGGTCAATGTGGATATTATTCTGGAGGACCATATGAAATACGGTGCTGTAAGACGTGAGGGAATATGAGTGAAACTGCGGCGGTGGAAGATGTGTCAGAATTTCAGTAAATTTTACGGCGGTCAGTTAGTGCCGGAACTGAGATTACCGCAATAAAGGCAATCTACCAAAATCGCATTTAGAAAGGAATAGTGTGTCTAGCTCTGACCTCATCCGGTCTAGTTCATCTGAAATGGAGCGATAGGAAAGAAAGTCTGTGTGTCTGGGGTACATGTATGATGGCGATCGGTGTGTTACCGTTGACAGCCACTTCACCGCTCAGCAATCGCACTTCACATCAACAAAGGGACCCACTCGTCCGGCCCCGTTATTCCCAAATCTAGCCCGCCCTTACCACCAACACACCACGAACAAACCATCAATCACCGTCAAAACTCACTTTCGATCCTCACCCTCACCCATCTCCCAATAGTCAACTCTTACCATCAAGATACGCCATCCTTGATGTCCACAAAGCAGAACTCTCGTAGATCAGAGTGCGTGAAACGTAATTCAGAAATTTCTAGCTGCTGTCATATCCATAGAGAGTATTCAAAAAAGCCCTGGAACATGAATTTCCGAATATGACCTATATTTTGACAAAGAAGCTATAAAGACGTTGTAGATCCAGGCGTATGTAACGATCACAAGAGAAGGAAACCTCAACATTATGGCGTGTGGGGTCGCCTGTATGTAACACAAACACATATGTATGAAACAAGCCACTTAGTAGTCTGCTAACCTAAGGATAGCGCATAAGCTAAGAATCCTTACTCTTCAAGCTACCTGAGGCACCGATAAAAGCAGGTTGGCATTTGACGTGATAAATCCCGCTCTAGTGTTCTGAGCTCATACATTTCTATTCAGGCTGTAAAGGGCGGTGCCGAGTCTAAACTACCTATTCCAAAATACATTTTGTATTACACATAAAGCAAAATTTCTACTAGGGCTGCTACATGAAGCTGGAGACTCTAGGACTATCTTCAAATTATGACAGTTACCTGCTTAGAAAACATTAAAAATGCTATATTTGCTACGATGTTATCAACTTGTCTGGGGAAGTCAGGGGTAAACAATTTAGTGATAGCAAACTGCCATTGAAAGTTAAAAATTTCCATCACCAGTCTCATGGCCAAATAAGCAAAATCCTAGTGTTTTTTATCTCTCAAAGTTAAGTTCATGAATATCAAAACGGCGAGCTTGCTGTGAGAATCGTCTCAATTTGCGAATTTGAAATTAATTGCCTTCAAATTGCTTTGCCTAATCAGGAGGCAGTGAGGGGTTCTGATAAACAGCCCTTATGTGGAGAATTATTACGATTGGCATGTGGATCTATTGGTTTTCCTAAATCTTGAAATTCCTGTCGTATTCCACTGTGGCAAAGTTATAATTGTAACATTGTGGTGATACCTTGCGTGTAGATCATTTACGATTATGGTGAATGGACCTCTGACAACTTAAACAAGCCTCTTATATCGTTTCAATCCGAGTTTTTCAGCAATATTTGAGTTTTGACACATGGATGGCATACGTAAATGTATAAATGAGATGGAGAAAGGCCTGGTCATAATAGTTTTCATCTAAACAAGTGCAGAAGATTCCATCCTCACCGTCACTTGTGAAAGAATTTCTTTTTTCCTAAGTAGGTTCGAAGCTGCCGTCTCCAATTCTTAAAGATACTTGCCATCCAATACGGAATTCGCTGTAATTCGAGATGTGGTGTACAATATTCGCTCTCAACTCTCAAGCGGCCAAGGTAGTGGTTTCAAAGATTTTTACGGGTTCCTCTTACTGACTCCAGATAGTCAATATGTCTCCATTCTGCCTTTATGGTCATTTATTATCTTCTTATACATTTGTGCACGGGCCTGCCGAATTTTGCGCTCGCAACGGCATCCGAGCACTCACTCTCGGACCAAAACAATAGCGCAGAGAGATTAACATTTTGTCATTTCATGGTATGTAATTATAATTGCTGCTCAGAAAAGGATGGGGGCTTCGGGGTTTCAGGGTAACAAGTTAATCTTCCAGATTGGCATTACAAGCAATCGTAAGAGCGCTACAGATTACGATTCAGATATGACACGAGCCAAGGAGATGGGCATCGACGCTTTTGCTTTGAACATCGGGATTGACCCATATACCGACACCCAATTGGGCTATGCATATGAGTCTGCTGCCAAAAACGGAATGAAAGTCTTCATTTCTTTCGATTTTAACTGGTGGAACACTGGACAGGCAAGTGCAATTGGTGCTAAGGTTAAACAGTACGCCAGTCAGCCCGGGCAGCTGAAGGTTGATGGGAAAGTATTTGTCTCTTCTTTCTCTGGCGATGGAGTTGACGTTGGCTCAATTCAATCTGCGGCAGGAGTCGACATATTCTTCGCGCCAAATTTCCATCCCGGCCAGGGGAAATTTGAATCCATCCAAGGTGCTTTGAATTGGATGGCATGGCCAAATGATGGTAATAATAAGGCGCCAAGCCCAGGCCACAATGTTACTGTCAAGCAAGGAGATCAGTCTTATCTCAATTCGCTGGCTGGGAAACCATATCTTGCGCGTGAGTCAGAAAATCAACACGGATCATGAAGGAATCCTGAATTTTTTCAAATTTTAGCTGCTTCGTCTTGGTTCTCAACGCATTACGGGGCCGAAGTTTCCTATAGTAAAAACTGGATCTTCCCATCCGACCTTCTCTGGTACCACCGATGGTGTGAGATTCTATCTTTAGGGCCCCGGTTTGTCGAGATAATTACTTGGAACGATTACGGGGAATCGCATTATGTTGGCCCTTTATCTTCCCCTCATACAGATGATGGGGCATCAAAATGGGCCATGGACATGTAAGTAAGCGAGTGCAATATCTTGATTTACTCTGATTTGGTTGATTCTAGGCCTCACAATGGCTGGCTTGAAATGGCGAAGCCATTCATCACTGCCTTCAAGGCCGGCGAGCCGACTGCCGACAAATATGTCAATGAAGAGAAGCTGATTTATTGGTACCGCCCGACGCCCAAAAGCTTGAATTGTGACTCTACAGACACAACAACTACTGGTAATCCGAACAACAGCAGCGGCAACTTTTTTAGAGGTCGACCTAATGGCTGGGAGACCATGGAAGACTCGATTTTCGTCGTCACGATGTTGAAATCACCCGCTAAACTTTCTGTGACCTCCGGAAACAACTCCCAAGACTTTGAAGCAATGTCTGGAATCAATGCTTTCAGCATCCCGATGGGTGTCGGGCCACAGAAATTTGAAGCTAGTAGAGAAGCCAAAGTTTTCCTTTCTGGGACAAGTATGAAGGATATTGTGGATACATGCGTCTGCGGGATCTACAATTTTAACGCATACGTTGGAACAATCCCAAGCTCTTCAGGGATCGATAGTCTACAGCCGGACGGACTAGCGCTTCTTTCACAGGGATTACGAGCTCCGTGTCCCACTAATACCTTAGTTTAAGGTGTTTCCACGTGGAGAACGCTGGAAAAATATTTTCTTTATCAAGCGAGGCATTTTGAGATTTAGCCATTCTTGAAACAGAGATAAAATGCTCCGGCTCTCGGATATGTGAAATAAGTTTATTGATCTGACCTGCTTACATAATACAAGCAGACTTTCCATGACTAGTTGTAGTTAGTTGCTGCTCGCTGGCAGTTGCCAATTCCGGTCATCCGCTAATGTATCTGCTTCCACCTCAGCTATAGGAGGCCGGATTGACTAAGGGATACATGGCTGCCATTTGCGCTCTTTGAATTTTCTGACTGGCGAAACACATCCGCCCCACAGCCCATCACCACAAGATCCGAGGGTAGTAGGCTTCGCCGCTTTGATCAAGATAAATGATACATGGTGCCCTGGGTGCCTATAAATTTGAATAGCTTACTAGTAACAAGATACGAATCTTAGTAATATGCTTAAGATTGACAGTAAATGAATAATACAGTTTGTGCCTATTTTGATTTTCGTCGCTTCTCATATATTATTTTCTTGACCTTGATCTCTCCGCAGGGGTTATACTTACTTATATCGGTCTACTTGTCAGTCATATATCCTAGTGCTTTGGAATATAGGTCGATATATCTTTATTTACATTATTCTGGATTCTTATGTAGATCAATCTAGGAAATAGTCACTATAGAATAACTTCCTTTTTTGGATATAATAGATAGGGACAGGAATATATTAGTCTCGAAGGGCAGAAGTTTATCTCTAACAGATAACCATCTTACCTTAATTCTTTAACTTTCTAATAATTATAGAAGGTTTTTCTTATTTACATATTCGGAAGTATATTATATTTATATATAATATTGTAGGGAAAGGGTATCTTGGTATATTTCAATAGAGTATAATTCCTCTGCTACATAGGAATATTATATAATATCTCCTAACTAATTAAATATAGATTACCCGTCTTATTTTTTATATATACTTAATTAGGTTCTAAACTCTCTTTTTAAGTTTGTTTAGATAGATTAATCTTATAGATTTCTAAGCTTTAGTCTCAGAATTTTATTATACTTAATATCTAACCACTTATATTCCTGATATCTTAATTTAGACTTAGTACTTGGTAACACGAAAAATTATTATATAGACACTAAAACTTTTTCAATCCCTCTTTTATAGTGTTTTTTTACCCAAATTTTGGGTTTATAGTCCTAACATAGACATTTCGCTGCTTTTTATTCTTCTTATATTTTTTCCCAGCAATCCTATGTATTAAGGTAATAGAATGAGATTAGACAGACTTTAGAGCTAAAGCATAAATACTCATGGGATTAATATCACTACAAAGTTATTGATAAACATCAAAGAGGTAAGTGGCTAACAATATTTTGTCTAATTACGCCTGAGGAAGATACTTCACACCCTAGTAGGGTATAGCTCAGATTTCCACCTTTATTATACGTAGCACAGCAGCAGTTGTCAGAAAATGGACAAAACTCCTATTTACGCAGTTCTTTAGTCATTGTCTGACTGGGGGTACTCTGTAGTACCATTTAAATTCCAGAGATCCGGACCAATTATATCAAACTTTGGACTAGAGCCTAACTAGAGGGAGGTATATCTTGGTTCATTGGCCAATAGGCTTATATGGAAACTCACGGATATGGCAATAATTGATCGAATTTGTAACCCTGCGATGTAACCCAACAGAGAGTTAAAATAAGCTCTCTCAAATGATTTAGCGGTCAGTCTATTTAAACTCTCTAGCTATCTTGAAATCTTCGAATATTTGAAAGGTAATCTGTAACTTTGAATTAAGTTGTGCAGAACAGGCCGGAGTTACTAGCCTCCGTGATCCACGAAAACAACACATAGTAACACCAGGCTTACGCAAGGATGTACCAAAAAGCCAATATTCCTCCTACATAAATCTTTTTGGGATTCGGACCCTACTGTCATTCCTGTAATCCGAAAATCGGATATCCGATAAGAAACTAATATATATATATATTGGTTTAGCAATGACTACGGCGATCTTTAGTTTCAACAGACAATCACTGTGAAAAATTAGATAATGAGATGAACCGTGACTTTCGTCAGGTAGAGCCCCACTTTACATTGGACCATCTCACGGTGATTATAAGTGAATAGAACGATAGTACCAAGGTAAATGTATGGGCGTACTGAGATGGGGTTAAATCAATCAAGAACAGAGAGGCCCCAAAAACAGTCTCTTCTTCTGGGAAGGCTTCCACCGGAAATCCGTCTCATGATTTGGCAGATGCTGTGCTCGCGCAGACTTTTTGTGATCGGCGGAAAGACATTTAGTCTGGTCGGTTCCCAAAAATCACATTCTCACCGTCAATTTTATTGCTGGGACGTGATCAAATGCATTGCTATCAGCGAGGAAAACGCGATAGAAGCTCACAATGAGGCTCTGAAAGGCATGCCTTTCTTTTCTGAGGGAAAGCTCCTTCGAGTTTGCAAACAGATGTACATATGGCTCGATCTTCCTCTCCTCTTGCATTTTGGAACTAAAAATTACATGTAGGCACCGCGAAATTATTCACCTACTCTATGCTGACAACACTTTCATCTTCGAACGATTCGCTTCATTGGCATGGTTTATCTCCATTGTACCCACTAGACATATTGACTGCATCCGACCAATACGCCTCATAGTTCTTGATCATCTTAAAGTCTCCAATTGGATTCTGCCTGAGCCTACGACAAGGTCTTCAACTGGTGCCCCTATGCGGCTGCGAGCCTATGACTTCTTTTGGCCTCTTGACAGAGCCATCCTCGCAGTCGAATCACGAGATCTCAAGCGTAAGCTTGATCAATGCAGGGGATGCTTTCTTTGTCGATTGGAAGAGGGACGACCGCACTATCATGTATGCCTTAACAACAAGCCTATTGGGTCGATATTTTCAGAAAACAAGGCAATTGTTGTGGATGAAGGATTATTTGTCTCGGAGATGGGAATGGCAAAGAGTCATGAAGAAGTTAGTGTTACGCTTTAGGTCTCGCAGTCACATTCTCCCAGGATTGGCAGGAAAGGTTTGAGGAACTCATGTTGCCTTGAGAGTGTTATGTTCTCAATAGAACCTAGGTCATGCCGGTTGAGAGCAGCTTTGTGTCGTCTATTATCAAGAGCTCCACTGTCGGTCTTGCAAGGGAATCATCCCCGAGGTCACCTAAACTTGCTCTCCAAATAAGAGGGGTTTTAACGGCAAAGAAACAAAGTGCTGTTATAAAAATATTATTTAATATATAAAAGGCCCCCTCCTCCCTATCAATCCTAATAGAATCATCATCTTCAATTATTCTGAACACCATTCTTATTAATTACTTATCTGATCACCAATCATTTCTACCTATTATCCAATAGGTATTTGTTGAAGCTATTCAGACCTTCCTTGTTGCTTGTAGGACCCTAGGTCTTATAATTATATTATAAATTATAGCTGAAAAAGTAAGTCCTATATTACTATTACTTAGACTAAAAAAAGAATACTTATAGAAATATACAAGATAAAGAAATTAGTTACTATTATCCACTGAATACAATAGTTTCAACTGCTATTCTAGATAATAAAGTATAAATATAAATATAGTACAACTACCTGACCTATAATTATGGCATACCATCCTATTATGCTTCCAGCAGTATTATAGCTGTTCACATCAACAGTAACCCCCATAGTAGACTACATCTCCAATATTTGGATATAGACTTTCAAAGATAAGGCTACCAGTCTGATCATCTAAGTCTAAAAGATAGCAGCACAAATAATTTTAGGAACATTTTTCACAATTACAACCAGCATAGCAGAAGTAGAGATTCATATTATACTACACAAAACTATTTCTAGAGACAGACCATAAAGCTTTGGACAATATCTCTATACCCTACCAAAAATTAAACCTCCCGCAGAAATACAGCTCAGATTAAGTAATTCAGGAGATACTATCATTCACCGTTGTATTAAGTAGCAAAAACACTAATAATATCAAGATAGAAATACCAAAATCTATTAACCTATTTATATTAGCCCCATAGAAGGAACATATAAAACCAAGAGTCATAAAATCCTAGCAGCACAGACCAAAGCAAGCGGATACATACAGATCAAAGTTAGCAATTCAACACAGAACAACATAGTATAATTTCAAGTAACAATCAAGACGCAACCACCTTATTATCAAAAAATAAAATTAAGAGCCTTCTCCATCACACTAAACACAAGACCAAAGCAAAATTTATACCCCAAACAACTAGCAGCCATCGCACTTACAACAAACATACAACCAAAAATAAAATAGTATAGATTCTAGCTACTTACAAATAACAAAATAGCAGCTACACACTGAAAACCCCTCAACGATATTTAGGCCAAGAACATATCTACCAAATACATAAGCTAATCAACAAACTTTCAAGACACAGAAACCAGATCAACATTCATTTATTCACAAGCAGCATCAACGACTATCTTTTAAAGCTGGTAAAAGAATAGGCTAGGATCGTAACCCAAGGGAATACTGCCCCATCAGTCATGGGTCCCCGGAATAAAGTCAATAACACTAAGTATCACATAGCCCCAAGCAGCCACCAGCAAAAAGGTGCCAAGCCAAATCCGAACCAATATACCTAGATTCAATAGATAATTCTCTTAATTCAAATTCATGTACTAGACATAGACAGATATATAAAGGGAAGAAAAATATAACATAGGGCATTTCCTGTTTCAATATCAAAAGTGGACCACAGACTAAAGGAAAATACTACAATATACTCATATCCACTAAGGCAAAATGTATTTCTTCCTTGGTGAGATACCGCCTTCCGATTACCAGAATTAGATACCGAAGTTAGAGGTAGTGCAAGCTTCTATACAATTCACAATCACAACAGGCCAACTCAACGCCGCTTGAACATATCAATCAACACTATAAAAAGCTTCCCCCAAACCAATCTACACAAATCAACGTGTACTAGAGACGGG